AGGAGTTGGTATGCATCATTGTGTTTCTCTTTCACTATCCTCATACATGTATATGTGTGTGTAACTGTGTATGAATCTATGTATAGCTCATATGTTTACACGTGCTTTTTGCAGAGATCATTAAAGAAGGAACACTTCTTATGGCAGTTATTTAACATAGAAAACGACGTTGAGAAGGCCAATCAGGAGATTGAAAATGAACAGAGTAGCCTTCAAGAAATTATTAACGAGTTAGATGGTTATGAGAACGAGTCACGCAAAAAAGAAAAGGAACAAGCTAAATATAGAAAAGAAATTGAAAAACGAGAAAAGAAGCTCGCTGAGAAGAAAAATAAAATCGATAAAAACGTGAGTTGTTTTTCCCCTTTTCCCACCAAAAATGTTTAATCCAATGTCTTTTTAATCATGCTAATACATTCTATATGTTTTAAAACAGCAACCCGAGCTTCTGAAGCTGAAGGAGGAAAAGACTCGCTTAACTGCAAAACTTAAAAACACCGGGAAAGAGCTTGATAAAAGGAAAGAAGAGAAGAAGAAACACACAGTTGAAATTGAAAAGCTGCGAAATGACTTGGATGACCTTACAAAGCAACTGGATAACTTACAGTCAAAAGGTCAATCTGAAGGGGGGAAGCTTCATTTAGGTGATGATCAATTGGAGGCATATAACCGCATGTAAGTATTAAGTAACTATTCATCTGTTATCATCAACTTAATATCTAAAAGAATGAATAGTTAATTATAAAATCTGGCTTGGTGCAGTAAAGAGGAAGCAGGTATGAAGACTACCAAGTTAAGAGATGAAAAAGAGGTTCAAGATAGGGAACAACATGCTGATGTGGAAGCTCAAAAGAATCTTGAAGAGAATCTACAACAGTTGGAAAGCAGGAAACAAGAACTCGAGTCACAACAGAAACAAATGGAAACTAGACTCAAGAAGATTCGAGAAGCCATTGACAAACACAATGACGAACTCAAACGACTCAGAAAGGAACAAACTGACACCACCAAGAAACTTGGAGATTCAAAAAAGAAATATGAAAATCTGAAGGCTAAGATAACTGAATTAGAGAATCAATTACGTGAGTTAAAAGCAGACAAACATGAAAATGATAGGGACACAAAGCTGTCACAAGCAGTTGAAGCTCTCAGGCGTTTGTTTCCTGGTGTTCATGGTCGTATGACAGAGCTTTGTAGGCCCACACAGAAAAAGTATAATCTTGCTGTTACTGTTGCTATGGGCAGATTTATGGATGCTGTTGTTGTTGATAACGAGCATACAGGAAAAGAATGCATCAAGGTAAAATGCGTTTTTTTGTAAATGATTGGTGAATATAAAATCATGATGCATTTCTGTATTCACTTGTTTTCTGCAGTATTTGAAAGACCAAAGGCTTCCTCCTATGACATTTATACCCCTTCACTCAGTCCGTGTTAAGCCAGTCATTGAGAAGCTGCGTGCATTAGGTGGAACTGCAAGGCTTATCTTTGATGTGATTCAATATCCTTGAACATAACCTTTTAAAGTTTTAATTACATATCTTCTTTATCTAGTCATTATTATTTGTTGACTTAACAATCAAACATTTGATCAAGTAATCGATAAAGCAATTCTCTTTGCTGTGGGAAACACTTTAGTCTGTGATGATCTTGATGAGGCGAAACATCTGAGTTGGACTGGAGAGAGATATAAAGGTAAAACATTTACATATTTTCTTGTTGTTTTGAATGCTAATATATAAATATCATTTTTAATGTTTGTTGTAGTTGTAACTGTTGATGGGATTTTATTAACAAAGGCTGGTACCATGACTGGTGGTACAAGTGGTGGGATGGAAGCAAGGTCACATAAATGGGATGATAAGAAGATAGAAGGTCTGTGGATTAAAATTAACTATTAATTCTTGATCTTTTTGTAGTAATATTTACACGTGTTACTAATTTTCAGGTCTTAAAAAGAAAAAAGATGGGTTTGAAGCAGAGTTACAAGAACTGGGGTCAATAAGAGAGATGCAACTGAAGGAGTCTGAAGCATCTGGGAAGATCAGTGGGCTTGAAAAGAAGATTCAGTACGCAGAGATTGAAAAGGTATCTTACAGTCTTCCACTCATATGCCAATTTTTTGTTGAAATGTTAATGTATATGATATAAAGTGTCATTTTTCTATTGCAGAAAAATACAGAGGAGAAACTTGCGAAACTGACTGCAGAATACAGTAATATTAAAAATGAAATTGGTTATATTGAGCCTGAACTTAATAAGGTACTGTTGCAATGGAGTTTACAAGGCGTAGCTCACTATACAATATGTATGATGCTGATGGGAGGGTATTATTGTAATATTGCAGATAAGGGAGAACATAACTTCAAGACGACGCAAGATTTTATCACTTGAAAAGAGGATCAATGATATTGTTGATAAAATTTATAAAAGATTTAGTGAATCTGTTGGGGTGGATAATATACGCGAGTATGAAGAAAACCTACTTGCTGCAGCCCAGGAGCTGGCTGAAGAAAGACTTAGCTTGCGTAATCAGCAGTCAAAACTCAAATATCAGTAAGTTTTGATTACCCCTGTAGCTCATAATATGCTGATACTGTTGCCAAACTTTCTCTTGGTTGAAAGTTTTGAACTAAAAAGAAAAAATAATGATCATTTATTTGGTGTCTTGGCACTAAAAATATTTATAAAATTGTCAGGTTGGAGTATGAGAAAAAAAGAGACATGGGAGCACGGATTGCGAAGCTGGAATCATCACAGACTGAACTAAAAGATTCTTTGGTTGAAGTTGATGAGAGAGAGAAAGAACTTAAATCGATGATAGAGAAAGCTACTGAAGAGATTGATGTATTGAAAGAAGAAATACAGGGTATGTCCCATTTTCTTCCAAAAATGCTATTTTTATAAAATCATAAAACCCATAACAATTATTATTTTCTTAGAGTGGAAGTCGCAGTCAGAAGCATGTGAGAAAGAGATGAAAGAATGGAAAGTAAAAATCTCTGCTGCTACAACAAACATAACAAAGCATAAAAATAAAATCGATTCCAAGGTCGGTATTATTTAAACTGGAAAGGAAAATGTAAAAGTTTGATTTCTTATCTTTTTTTTACCTGGAAAGTTGTTTATTATCTGCAGGAGAATCAACTTACACAATTAAGTTCAAAAAAACAAGATATTGTTGAGAAATGTGAATTAGAGCAAATCACACTCCCCACCGTGGCTGATGCGATGGATGTCGACTCAGAAACAGGCCCAGTTTACGATTTCAGCCAACTCAGCAGGCCGCATCAGCACAATGCAAAACCTGCGGAAAGGGAAAAGCTGGAGGCAGAATTTAAACAGAAAATCGGAAGCATAGTATCAGAAATTGACAGAACTGCCCCCAACTTAAAAGCCCTAGATCAATATGCTGCTTTGCAGGAGAAAGAAAAAGCAGCAAGCAAAGAGTTTGACGAGGCCAGAGAAGAAGAGAAGCTAGCAGGCAGAGAGTTTGAAACCGTGAGGACCCGCAGGTAGATATAGTCTTCATTCCCTCTTTTGAGTTTAATATTTATAATTTTTGTTGACAAAATTAACATTTTTACAGGCTTACGCGATTTATGGAGGCGTTTAACCATATTTCTGGAAATATTGACAAAATCTATAAGCAACTGACGAAAAGCAGCACACATCCTCTTGGTGGGACCGCATATTTAAATTTGGATAATGAAGACGAACCGTTTTTACATGGTATAAAGTACACTGCTATGCCGCCCACAAAGCGTTTCCGTGATATGGAGCAATTATCAGGTGGTGAAAAGACTGTTGCGGCCCTGGCTTTGCTTTTCTCCATCCACAGGTAATATATTATATATGTCATTTATTTATTTTTTGTAATATTTGGTTTGGTTTGGTTTGGTTTGTTGATGTATTATTTATTATTCCAGTTACAAGCCATCGCCCTTCTTTATACTGGACGAGGTGGATGCAGCACTGGATAATTTAAATGTTGCAAAGGTTGCTGGGTTTATCAGATCAAAGTCATGCGAAGGAGAAAGGGCAGCAAATCAGGAAACTCTGGAAGGGAACGGTTTCCAGAGTATTGTCATTTCTCTTAAAGATACTTTTTATGACAAGGCTGAAGCTCTGGTTGGGGTTTATAGGGATTCTGAAAGAGCGTAAGTCCAAATAAATAATATTAAAAACTTTAAATGGTCATTTCATGTTTTTTAATTATATATTGTTTTTGCTCTGCAGGTGCTCAAGAACTTTGACATTTGACCTAACCAAATACCGGGAGGCATGATAAAGATGTAGGCATAAGCAATAGATGATGAAAAAATGGCAAACCTTTTTTAAGCAATAGATTTAGTTAAAGCTTTGTGTTTATTTGTGAGTAGCTTTCCATGTTGATTTTTATTGTTGGTTATAACTTTAAAGACAACAGTAAAAGTAACCTAGACGATTGTTATTATGTAATGTGCACATAACAAACATATCCACGACTGTAAGTTTTTTATGCACCTTGTATAATGTGGATCGTTGTCTTGTTGAAAGCCCACGGCATTTTCTGGCATAAGGCTCAAAGGTTCTACAAATACTTATACACGATAAAACACCGTCCATTTCCAATCATTCATTTCCTTCCAGAAAAAAGAATTTTATGGTGTCAAGAAATATACCAAACATTTTTTTTATCGACATCAAAGGATTCTCCAATATTTTTTTTTATTCAAAATTAAAAAAATCGTGTTAATTTGATAGACTGAAATGTGGTCGCTTTTATCTAAGCAAATAGCTAATCCAGGTGATACAATTCGTCTAAAAAAAATCTTTTTTTAGAAAAAGAATTTGCGTAGTTAAATAAAACCATCCAATAAATTAGTGACCATGAAATATAATTAGAAAAAAAAAAGCGAAAATTAATATTGCTCACAGATGCAGAGAGGCCCCACTAGTCACTACCACAACCTTGACGTTCGAGTTTCCGGCCACCGGTGCACTGCCGGAGCTCGAAAATGGACGACGACAAAGATCCTCATTCACCAATCGAAACCTTCCACGATTCCATTGACGAGGAACCTAAGCAAAAAAAACCTGAAAGTTCGATTGCAGCAGAGTTGAAGACGAAGAAAAGGAAAGCTTTAATCGAGCTCCGTTCACGTCTCGAGGATTCCATACTCAATTACACCCTCATCGGAGAAAAATACAAAGCGAGCGAGCATCTTAGAGAATTACAGATCTGGGGTGTCCCATTGTTACCCAGTCGAGGCCTCGAGAGAACCGATATCATTCTCAAAAAATTCTTGAAAGCCAAAGATTATAACGTCCAAAACGCTTTTGAAATGATAGCAAACACGATTATGTGGAGGGAAGATTTTTAATATAGACAAGCTGTTCGAAGAAACGTTTGGCCCAGATCTTGACAGTATTGGGCACATTCAGGGCAAAGATAAAGCAGGTCGCCCATTGTGTTACCCAATTGTTCGAAGCGTTTAAAGATAAAGACACTTTACGTAAGAGATTAGGAACCAAGGAATCATGCAATGAGTTCCTTCGTTGGCGAATTAAACTAATGGAAGGATGCGTTCTTAAACTCGACTTCAAACCCGGTGGTGCAGATTCTGTCATCCAAATTATGGATGTCAAGAACATACCCAGACCATTTCTGAACGAACTCTTTGCGGGTAGCAAGAAATATTTTTCCCTTTTGCAAGAAAATTATCCAGGGATCATTTACAGAATCGTAAGTTTCCGTAATGTTTTAAGTCAAATAAGTGATGAAAAAAAAAATTGAAAGTTTATATATCTTTTTAAACAAAATGTAGGTGATTGTTAATGTCCCGATGTGGTTTTTCGCGTTCTATACGTTAAATATGCGATTAATGACAAGAAAGTACAAAGTAATGTACGTGAAGCCATCGGCAATCACTGAGACCCTTCTCAAGTTAGTTTTGCAAACCATCAACATCTAATACATATATTTGATCCTGATATTACACTAAAATGACTTCTAGGTTTTGAAAATGTCATATCAAATCATGGGTGATGATAGAGTTTTTGAAATTTAAATATCATTTTTTTTTTTGTCTTTATTAAAAAAATCCAAAAAGTAAAGGTAAACTTGGTTAAACGTGTTGAAGATTTATAGATCCAGAACATCTCATGGCTCCATACGGCGGTCTAGGAATAAAAGGCGGCGAATTCTCGCCTGACGAAAAAGCGACAGAGCAGAAGCTCAAAGGATATGCAACCGATAGCATCGAGATACCTACTACAGAGGTTTGTTTCAGCTTTTTACAGTATCACTATCTTAGTAACAATGACAGTAACAACGAGTGAGATAAAATATTTATGTTTTTGGTGAATTTTGATTACAGGTGGGGATGACCGTGTATTGGGATTTAACGGTAACAGGAAATGATGTGAGTTACAAGGAAGAATTTGTGCCAGAAGATGAAGGTTCATATAATGTGTTGGTTTCAAAAGGAACACAAATAGGGAGAATGACTTCAAATTCATTTCATGTAAGTGAGCCTGGCAAAATTCTTATTACATTAGCCAATCCTTCTTCCAAAAATAGAAAGATTTTTTATAGGTACAAAATTAAACCCTTTGTACCCATGCACAATTTACCCATTACAGATTAGAGTTTTTATTTATTTATTTATTAATCCTATTTGAATATAAGTTTAGTTAATTTTGATCGTACTTGTACTGAAAAGTTATCCTCAAGGAAATGGGTATATACGAGCTTGAATTTGTATTAAAAAGTAGTCCATTTAGATTTGTATATCGTCTTAACACTCAAATTTGCCTATTTTACCACATAAATATAGTTGCATATATTTTGTTCCAACTTCAGCAGCATTTTTGTGTTATATACATAATTATAAAAGCAAAAGCAACTTAATTTCTATTTACTTTTTTAGTATACTTCACAAGGAAGAAAATCAATCAACTTCGATTTAAAATCCCGATCCCACCTCTTTAATTTTATTATATAACCGAGTATCAAAAACCCATCTATTCATACTTGAAATCGAGTGTTACAAGTTGCAAAAAATCTTTTAGAGCATCACATTTTATCAACTCACCTTGAGTTAGGCGGACACATTTATGATAATCTTTTTGTGATATTATGTCTCTAGTATACATGATCAAAATAATCTTATTTCTAATTAAGATGTTTATTCTTAATGTTTGCGGTTTGTAACAAAAAAAGTTATGGATGATGCTTAAGAAGTTAAAGTTAATTACATCATCTTGCAAGCAAATTTGAATATGAGTTCATTTTGGTAAAATCTTACGATTCCGATCCGATCTTACGATCACAATTTTGCAAAACGTAAAACGATTTTAAGTAGGATTCGATTTTGACAATCTTGGTTTCATCTAAGCTTTTAACTGTCCACTTTCACTTATTAACAAGAAATCAAGATACTAGCAGTAGAATTCAACTTTGAGCTCTGTTGATTCAAGTACAGTGTATTTAAATTGTTTAATAAAATAATACAACTAACTGCTTTTAACCTAATTGGATATATATAAATAAAAAATATGTTCTGTTATATGATGCTTTTGGCAAAAAGGTATGCAATGTGATAAGCCAAATGATTACTTCTATTTTTAGCAATTCACATGATGTGTTCATCTTGGGAATGCTTTTGATTTAATTCATTAAAAAAAGTCCATATGTTAGTTACAGACTTCAATAAAGTATTATTTTCATTTTCTAGAAAAGGATTAATACAATCTCTCTCTCTCTCTCTCTCTCTCTCTCTCTCTCTCTCTCTCCTCTCTCTCTCTCTCTCTCTCTCTCTCAAACTATTTATTCTGACTTTTGTTGGCATTGGTTTTTCATTGTATATTTTTACATTTTATAGCTGTTGTGTAGCTCCTTATTTATTAGGAATCATAAATGTTTAAATTATATATATATATATATATATATATATATATATATATATATATATATATATATATATATATATATATAATCAAACTAACTCATATCTATGAACGTGTAACAAGATCTTGATAATTAAATTAAAAATGAATAGTCAAATTGTCAATTGTATAATTAAACTAAAAAGAATAGTTAGAATTGTCAATTGTAATTAAAAATCGAAAGAAAGCAGAATGAATAAGTTTTCCAGAAAACCAATGGTAAGGATAAAGTGAGCATTTTAGGTGAATAAGTTAGAAAGACAACATATATTTTGGGATACACGATTTTGTGAGTTGATATTTTGGGATACATAATTTTCCTTAGTTAACGGTTTTAATTCCACAATTAATGACCTTTAATTTCATAAAAAAGTAATTTAATTTCATAAAAAAAGTAATTTTTATTTGTATTTTTTAAAAGTGAAATTAAATGGTTACATACGGAAGTCTAATTCGACTGGCAAGCCAAAATAGTATGTAAAATCCACTTACCATAGAGTTAGGAGACACCATAGACATTCTTTCATGCTTATCTTCAATCCAAGATGTTATGATTCAAATGGTTGAAGAAACATAGAAGAAGAAGACATGGCTGGAATCTTTTTTCTTTCAATTTTAAGGCACAAGACATGTGTGTTAGATGACTTAACCAAATATAAGTCAATAATTATGTATTGGATTCATATTAGCCATATAGGAAATGTCCCAAGTTCTAATCCTCAAGGCTTTAATCAAGGGTATCCAGGAGAAGGGTTGTAATGTGCTTAAGTGTCTTAACATTTCTCCATAGTCGAGCACTAACACCCACTTTTCCATATCCCTGCAAATTGGCTTCGATTGCATGACGACCCTATCGTAGCCACATAGATGTCAAATCAACATTTAGCAACAATACTATGTCGTAATGATACTTTTTCAATAGATGACGAGAATCTAATGGAAAACCATATTAAAAAATACTTTAGTGACTAAAATATATAGACGTGGCATTGTTATAGTCTTTTAACCCATTGTCATTTTCATGATCATCCCAATTTTTGATCTATAAAATTATAAATATGATATTCTACGGATTCATATTCAAAATTTTAAAATTCGAAATTATTAACTTATCATATCAGACATAACTAATCTTTTCTTAAACTAAGAAATTGAAATCGTCACAACAACGTATATGGATAGATATGAAATCTAAAAGTTAGGGATGACCTTTTAATAAACACCACCCACACTCTGTCATGTATCATATGCAAGTATGCAACTGCTTTCTATACACCTTTTTGCATTTATTATTTGTCTCTATCATACGCTCCAACCAAACACCTTTTCATCTGTTAGAATCCAAAAATAATGCCACTGAATCATGTGCATGTATCTAGGCCTTGTATATTATTTAATTTAATTCTAAATACGATCATGACATTTATGGATTGTGTTCTTACACGATAAAGAAGTAAATTATTTATATAGAAATAAATTAATTTTCTTTTAATTGTATTTTCAAGATCTAAATTAAAATTTTTTGATAGAAAAAACGTATTTTATTATTATATTTATTTGATGAATTAATATTAAATAATATTTCGTTACCAATATTAATGAAATAATGTTTCCCTTTCCGAAATTAAATGTGTATCTTGTATGACCATTGAATAAAACCCCCACCTTTTAGAGCCTTCCAAGTTCCAATTATCCACCACATATGATAACTCTCCCGCGTCATGTCCCCTTCATTTGACGATTCTACTATTTCTATATCACGCGCCGCCACCATAACCACCGCCATCGCTGCGTCAAAGCGCCGGAAACTCCTCGTTGATCATCACCTGCCCATGATACCTGGTCTACCTGATCATATTGCCCAACTATGTCTTTCTCGTGTTCATCCCTCCATCCTCTACTCCGTTTGCCGTTCATGGCGGCAGTTCATCTACTCCGCCACTTTCCCGCCGTTTCACTCTCTTTACACTCTTTCAACTACCACCCCCACCGATTCATCAGGTCAAAATTCGACGCTACAGCTCTCTTCCTTTGATCCGATCTCTTCTCAATGGAGTGTTGTTACTCCAACACCCTATCTACGCAACGTCTGCCTCCGCCACCCATCATTCATCGCCCGTAATTTACTCATCCAGTCCGTTTCAGTCGCCGGCAACCTCGTCCTACTTGCCGGAACCTCCAGCGACCTTCTCCCCGCTTTTTCGCATCCTATAATCTTTAACCCACTAACGAAGAAATGGTCTTCTGGACCTCCACTTTTAAGCCCACGCCGTTGGTGCCTTGCTGGAACCTCACGCGCCGCCGTATTTGTCGCGAGTGGGATTGGTTCACACTACACCCAAACTGTCGCTCGCTCCGTCGAGAAATGGATATTCCGGGAAACTGATTCTTTTGATAGTAAACGTAAAGATTCAAACTGCGTTTGGAAAAATATGCGATCTTTAAGAGATGGAAGGCTATGCAGGGAAGCCATTGATGCCGTTGGATGCAAAGGGAAGCTTTATACGATAAACATGAAAGGCTCGTGTGGTAAAGAAGGATTGGTTTATGATGTAAATTGCGATAGCTGGTCAGAGATGCCGGCGGGGATGTTGGATGGCTGGAGGGGGCCAGCGGCGGCGATGGATGAGGAGACAATTTACATGGTGGATGAATCAGAAGGTGTACTGAAAAAGTACGACGAAGCAATGGAAGTGTGGATAAATGTTTTGGAGGATGACATGCTAAAAGGGGCGGAGCGCATTGCCGCCGGTGGTGGTAGGGTATGCATTGTGCGTAGTGGCGGTGTTGGGATTTTGGCGGTGGATGTGGTCTCATCTCTACCACGGTTGTGGGTTTTGGATTCACCGCCGGGACAACAAGTGTTGGCACTTCATATTCTGCCTAGAATGTGTCCGAAGGAGTTCCAATCGCCGGTGGCGTTTTAGAGTCCAAGAAAATATGATTTAGATTCCAAGCTTTTTCATTAATGTCATAACTTAATCAATTTATATACATTTGCATGTTAATCAGATTGATATTTAATTGAAATTAGTTGAACTATTATTATAATTTAATATTTTAATATTTGCAATACCTTGTATTTATCATTGTGGTATTTCTTGATTGATATTTTAATTGTCATTAGGTACTACAATTCTACAAACCGGGTGAAATGAAAATTATAGCGTTATGATCTACAAACACGGAAGGTTTGTAAATATCAAATAGGAAACAAAGTAACAAACAAAATTAGATGAATCTTTAAAATATTATGGAAAGTAAATGATAGAAATAGTAAATCTTGTAGGTTTTATATAACTCCATAGTGTTATTTCTTAGGAGGAACGGAGATAATAAAAACAACAACAAATCACAAAGGATGTGACAAAGATCAACAGTACAATAGACAACTAGAATTATTTAAAGAATACCACATATATTGATATATAAAGACAATGAGTGATGTACAAATGCGCACAAAGTTGGTTGATTTCTGTACAAAGTTGAAGAGGCAATTTGCCCAATATGTTCTTAGACAGGAAGGGATGATACGAGAGTACGATAGAATGGGCTTTGGCTCACTCCAGTATTTTTTTACTTTTGTTAATCTCTTAAAACTTATTTACATAAGAACTAGGTGTGAAATCCATATAATATAAGGGTTTTTTAAAAAAAAAATTAATATATTTTATTAAACATTACATGTTTTTAGTATTAATTTAACATAAAAACAAAAATATATAAAGAATAAATTAATCATTTCAAAATATAAATAAATAAAATAAAAACGTACGTATTTATAAAATGATGATGACAATAATGTTATAAACATTAAACATTAATTAAATAAAAATTGCTAAATATATAAAAACAAAATGATGAATAAGTATGTAAGATAATGTAGAATAATAAAAACAAACAATGAAATATTCAGACTTATTTATATGAATTACAAATTTCCAAAGACTTCTTTGAATACAACATTAAATTTCTTATTGGTAAGTTTTCCATCTTTATTTAAAATTAATATTTTTAATCCATCTTTACTCTTCGACAATGCAACATACAACTACCCATGAGTGAATAATGGTTGTCTTAAAAACAACCCCACCTTCGATAGTGACTGTCATTGACTTTTATTTATTGTCATTGCAAAACATACAGCCAGCGGGTATTGTCGTCTTTGAAATATGAAAGAAATCCTTTTATCCGAAGGCGTCAAAGACATTCTTGGAATAAACGTACGGTTACCGATATTACTTCCAGATATTATCTCAGCTTCTATAACATGTTTGCCCAATGCAATAACCCGTAGCCTTGTTCCATTGCACAAATATGAATTTTTGATCAATATTTCTTAGTAACATAACCGGAACACCGACTTTTAATACCAACTTATAAATTGGCATACCTGAAGGTCTAAGACCATTTAGAACATCAGGGGAGTATAAAGTTTCATCAATGTTATCATGAACAAAATCTGCATGTGAAAGACCATCTGAACTTAAATACTCTTGTTGGGCTACTGGAAATAATTTTAACAAACGCTCGTTAATCTCTTGAACGACTTCATTCTTCCGTGCAATGATTGCTCTTTCTTGAAAATAAATCGGATTCTTGGCATTTTCAATGATAGAAGGATAGACAAATTCAATTAATGAACCAATAGGATCAATAGAATCAACAATGAGAAGATCATCAGGAATATCAATAATTGCCTCTCCATTTAAACCACCAACCTTTCCTTCTCCTATATCCAAAATCCATTTTTGCAGAAGTTCTAGTTTCTCGAATATTGGATGCGAGAACACTTAACCTCATGTTTTTTTTTGTCAATGCTAACACTTTTCAATTTGATCAAATGTAAGAGGAACATAAAGAAGCATGGACAATTTCTTACCTGCTTCCGTTAGGAATAGCATGTAGAATTTGTATAAAATCTCCTCCAAAAACAATTGTTTTTCCTCCAAACGGCAACTTTGAGTTGGTACGAAGATCACAAGCGAATATATCTTTCATATAACGATCCAAGGCTTCAAATGCATGCTTATGAATCATAGGTGTCTCGTCCCATATAATCAATGATGTTTTTTTTAACTATTCGGCTACATCATTGTCTTTCCCAAAAGAACAAAAAGAATTCTCTGTACGATTTAGAGGAATTATAAAGCATGAGTGTGCTGTTCTACCTCCGGTTAGTAACAACGAAGCAATACCACTTGAAGCAACATTTAGGACAATATCACCTTTATATCTTAAAGATGTAGATAAAGTCTTCCAAAAGAAAGTTTTTACCAGTACCTCCATAGCCATAAACAAAAAACACTCCTCTTTTTTTTTTCTGTTTAACAGCTGTCATGATTTCATCAAAAATTGAGCGTTGTTCAACTGTTAATGATTCAAGTAGCTGATGAGATTCTTTTTGTAGAATCGTTATATCAAAATCTAACTCCTCAGTAATTAAACGATTGTTTGTAGAAGATATCAAATCATGATCAGGGTAAGGTATCCCAACAAAATCTCTTAGGCTTGAACTATTTTGGAGCAAAATTTTTTCAATCTCATATAGCATCAAGTTTTTAACCTGATCGTCATTAAGTGATAAACCTGTACAAAAGCAAAGTTAATTTAAAAATATCTGTATAATTATTCATGTGAAAAATATATAAATAATGCGTCAAATGTAAATAATGGAAAAAATAATAATACATGGAGTCTTTAATCTTATTCGTTAATTGTAGAGAATTCCATCAGGTAATATTGCCAAGTATTTTCCCAGACATAATATGGTTTAGACAAACTATTAGACTTTAGCATAGTTGCAAATAGAAATCGTAAATAATAACAAGATCAGTGACTTGCTTCCTCGATGGCATCAATATATTCTCTATCATCTTCTAAAAGTCCAAGCGCATAACATGCATCTTTAAAAGTAGGACAAACTTGTCCATTAACCTTACGAATATCTTCAAATGATTTCTGCCCTTTGAATTTATTTAAAAGAATTCTCAAAAAATATGCTTCACCTAGATTAGGCGAAACTGTGTGAATTCTCCCAATAGAAAACCCTTGTTTTCTTGGCTCCCAACAACGATCTTCCTGTTTCCATACAAATTTTGTAGGAAACTCAACATAAGAAAGTTTTCGTGCATCAACAGTATGTTCATTACAACTCATCCAAGATAAGAACATCGAAGAAGAAACAAATTGTTTGTTGAGGAAATCTTCAATATCATCATCTGCTCCATATACAACATTTTGTTTTCCAGGAAGATGGAACGGAAGCTTTACAACAAAAGGATATCTGTAATGAACATCAAATGCAAATATACGCCATGAAGCTTCACATGCATACAAATACCTACAATCATAGTAGTTATGTATTTCATCAATGGAAACTTCATCATTATCATCTCCGTTGTTTTATACAACTGCAACAGTAGCCCGATCAGGACCCTTGTTAATATATTTAAACAAATATTTGATGGAAGCTGCTTGATTGCACCATTCAATATTAATGTGAGCCTGATATCTTTTCAAAAGGGCTTTGTGATATGGAACCATGCTTCTGTTATCTAACCTTACACCAGACTTTTCAAGAAAAGATCCATCATTACGTCTCCTGTATATAGGATAACCATCTGAATCGACTGAGGTATTTTCTAAGAATGACTTTGGGAAATTTTTTGAACACTTATTGTCACTCATGCATGGGCATTTAGGATTATCAGAAACACATGGACCATGCATCATAAACTCACTGACAAGTGCATACAATTCTGGAACATCTTCTTTGTTTGGAATTTCAACCGAAATAACTTGGTCAATATGTTTAACAGTAAGGAGTTTGTAATCAGAATGCATGAATAAACATATAAGTGCATGAGGCAGACCGCGCTTTTGAATCTCCACAGTATAAGCAACTGTAAATTATTAAAATAAATATAATATTATAATATAATAAAAAAACATAATGATAAAAGTATTGTTGTTTTATAAGGTACCTGCTTGGACCCGACCTAATAACGCATTTTTCTTTAAGTCTTTAATCAAAGAATTCAACTTGATTTTGAATAATCTGGAAAGGATATCGAGCCTATCTTCGGGATTAAGTGTGGTGTCGGCAAGAAACCTTTTAATTTCTGGCCACTTTGGGTTGCATGTTATAGTTATGAAAAAATTTGGGTATCCAAACCACTTACAAAGCAACATGACATCTAAATAGTTTTGCATCATGTAGCGTGCACCACCGGTAAATGAAGAAGGCAAGATAACACGTTTTCTGATGTTATAAAAATATCAGTACCACCATCACTTTGTACGTTTCGTAATGTTTCACACGATTCACATCTAAGAACTTTTTGCTGATTGCGTATGTAATATAGTCTCTCAGTTTCAATCATCGTATAAGCATCAACCAAAAAATGTTGAAAAAGCCTTCTCGAAGAATTAATGAAAAAACATTAACTTTATCTTGAATTCTATAAACAAAGAATTCTCTCATTGTACAATTACGATGTTTGCTATTTGTTGAATCATCAAAATCTCTGTGAGGGATGTCAACTCTGTATCCATCATCCCCATATGGAAAGAGTAGTGTGTACTGAAGAGCAAGATAAGAAGGATGTAATTCTTTTATACGTTGTAGACTCCCTGATTTAGTTATTACGATGATATCTCTATTATCAATTGCATCACCAATATCACCAACAATTAAAGCAGCAACTTTAGAAGCAGAAGGTAAGTTATATGTCCTCCATCTTGTTGCCTTCTTCCTATAAGACGCAACTTTACATCTATATGAAGATTTTCATCAAAACAATCTATGACCATTCTATAACACTTAACCAACGCATTTGTTGAATCCAACGTGTCCTTCAAAAAGCATATAATTTCGATATCAAAAGAATGAGAAGTTGATGTGCACCCTTCTTTTTGTGTACTG